CAGGTCCAGATGGTGCTGGTCAGCTTTGATTAGCATCTTGGCAGTGCTGCCTGGGGTCGCCAGCTTGCCATTGTGCATCAGAGGCGTGAGGATAGCTTCAGGCTTTGGCTCCTTGGATTGAGCATCTCCAAAGAGGCCACTGAGCTTGGTAACACTGCTCATGGAGCCGCGGCGGGAGTGGGTCAGCTCCTTCTCCTTCCTCTGCACAACAGCCACGTCTCTGCGGCGATGGTCGCAGATGCAGTACACTATGATTCCCGAAAAGACGGCCCCCATGACAAAAGCAAGGATAACAGCAATGGCCAACAGGGTGACCGGCACCAGCTGATCATGACCCTTCAGGTAACTCTCACGAATCACTCCTGCAATAAACAGCATACAGTGGTTAAGCAAACTAAGGATGGGGAAAAGCTACTTATCATTAACTACTTTGTTCAAAGGCACGCTCTGGGAGGTTGGTTTGTGTTTCACAAGGTGATTTTTGATCAGCTTGCCCAAATTTGGAGACATACTGTACCTGCCAGCTACATCTTGTATGTGCAGCCTTGGGCTTTCAGTACAGCTTTGAGATCTGGAGTTGAAGACTACAAAGGTCAGGAAGGGAGAGAGAATTCACTTGCAGGGCAAGTGCAATCAGTTTGAAATCCTGGCCCTGGGCAACTCACACTGACTTCAGCAGGTCAGAGCTATTATTTCTCCTCCTCTGACATCCTGCACATTCCTCCCCTCCCTCCATCCGATCTCTCCTCAGCTAATATCATCTTATTTTTACTACAGTAAACCATTCACATTGAAAAACCTTTAAAAGGAGGAGAGGAGACAGAAGGTCTGCAAACACCAGAGTAGTGCATCCCACATTGTTTAAGGGTTCTTTTTCTGCTTGTCATTCTGTTATCTTTGTCATGTGTTTTCAAAGTCAGTGTCACATGCCTGAGCTTCAGGAGGTTGCTTAAATAACTATGAAAGACACAGCACAGTGTTGAAATGTATTGAGCCTGCTAGATGACCGTCCCTGTTATTTTAATTTTAAAAGCTCTCTCTTGTTCTGAACACATAAATAGGTTGACCTCTGTGCTGAAGCCTATGCTTTCTTATCTGAAAGCCCTTGACCCTGAGGGCCTCATCTTGTGGTCCTGTACTGTGGTCAGGGATCACTGTCAAATCTTACTTGGCTCTCCAAGCGCCCGCTGTCAGAGAAGACATCTTTGGCAGAGTTGTGCCTCCTCCATCTGAATTCCCTAACAGAGCATTAATCAATAACCTGAATTTCTGAAGAAAGTAGTTTTTTCTGACATAGTTGGGCACCAAGCCAGCAGCACTAATGAAACACAAGCACAGAGACTCTAGTTTGTTTTCTTTTTTCATTTCTGGTTTTGTTCTTAGTGCTTAACAAGGAGGAGCCACAGCCTGACAAGGAGCTGAAGGAACATCTCTCCCACCTCTTTCTTCCAGAGAGGGTCCAAGTGGCAGGGCATTAAAAGATCCGTATGCTCTAAGGAAATGTAATCCTTGTCCTTATTACAGGAGAGACAGGAAGACAGAAAATGTATCTCCAAGGCTCTCCTGAGACTTTGTGAAGATAGAAAACTTTCATGTCATAAATCAACTCTCTCTAGCATAATGTCTTTTCATGTATTTGGCACGGAAGTTATTATTAGTGGCCCAGAATTAGAACCAAATGCAAAATACTCCTCAGCAAACTATGTTAAAAGAGCATTTAAAAGTTGCCACTCTCTCACAGAAACCTTTGATAAGTATTCTGGCTAGATACAGTATTGCTTCTATGGCATATATTTTTCTGTCCCCATTTAATTGCAGCGTTTAGGTGGACAAGGGATATTTGCTTACAAGATAGGAACTTTAAAAGAAAAACAGCTCTTGAAATCATAAGCCCTTGTGTGTGACGTCAGAGCTGGTTGTCACATAAATTATTGTGCTGTGACAAATAGAGGATTATGATTTCAGGAGGAGAATAAATAGCAAGAATGGATGATCACTTAAGAAAATAAGATCCTGCATTCATATAAATGTCTTTAAAAAGTAAGGGGAGGAAAGCAAATCTCAGAAAACAATATATAATTAGAAACAATCTTCAAATTAAGTGTGTCTAAGAGAACCCTCTTTTAAAGCCCAGTAGCTTTTTAAGATTCTTCTATTCTTTGTCATCAGCACTTAATAAGTGGTGGTAGAACCTAGTTTGGTAATTTAAATCCACATACAAAATTGCTGTATACAGATGGAAGCACCGTCCAGTGGTTACAGCACAGTCAACAGTAACTACATTTCACTGCACAGGTATTGGTCTTCTGTGGACATTCACCTGATGATATTTACATGCTATACTCTGCACCACTTTGAGACCAAATTTATTTACGCTTGTAAAACTGTCTGTGGTCATTAATTGGAGAATCAGAAATAGAAAGTCTTAAATGAGTGGGAAGGATGGTCATGTAAGTGTTAAGTCGAATTCAGAAACGCACTGCTGGGCATGCAGTTAAGAAAAACTTCAACTTAAAAAGCCTAATTTCATGCACACCTTCCATGCACAAACTTCTCAGGGATATGCCCCTTTGAGCACCTAAGTCCTAAGCTTCTTGCATGAAAAAGACTCAAAATCCCTGCTCAGTGCCTACCTAAGGGTGTAAGCTCCTACAGTCAAAGTCAGCATGGGTTCATGAAGGGAAAATCATGCCTTACTAACTTAATATCCTCTTATATATAGGCTGTGGGACAAGAGGCTGGAGTGCAGCCCCACAGAAAGGGATCTGGTGGTTGATCATAAGCGCAGTATGAGTCAACCATGTGCCCTTGTGGCCAAAAGGGCCAACCGTACAAAAATACTAGAATGTGTCCAAAGGAAGGCGGCAAAGTGAAAAGACTAGCGGGCATGACTGAGAAGGAGCAGACGAAGATACTTCGTTTGTTCAGCTTAGAGGAGACCTCATTGCTATCTAAATCCTCGTCATGATGGGGAGTGGAGGGGGAAGTGCTGATTTCTCTGTCAGGTGTCCAGTAATAGGGTGTGAGGGAATGGCTTCAAGCTTGCGTCCACGCCTGACATTTCCTACTGGCTAAGTGAGGTTTTTCTCCACCCTCAGCCTCCTGCTTTAGGGTAAAAGTCTTACTCTGTGAATGATAGCCTTAAGCACAACCCTGCATCACTGCATACAAAAGCAACAAGAAATCTTCAGTTTTACCTTACCAATAGATACCCAATCATTACAACCCACGTTACAAAATTACTGCACAGTTCAGATTGAGTGACCATGTGAGTTCAAGAATTGGGTCGCTGAAACGATGTCACTCACGCTGCAAGTGTTTTATTAGCACAAATTTATGAGAGTCTTAAAACAGCCTGAGTCCAGCTAGTTCCTCTGATTTCTATACTAGAGTTAAAGGATATTTAACCTTAGTGGCTTTGCTCTAGGCAGGTAGATCTTCTCTGGACACAATGTCAAGTTAATGATATAGTTTATTTTCTATCATGGATCACATCCATGCATCTTTAGGTACACAAGCAATCATAGCAACTTTAACTTAAATGAAATAAGATGGGCAAGATTTGACCCTGCATTAATGTTCATGGAATAGATACAATTAAGTAATGAAAAAGTATGAGGAATGTTCTGCATTCTACTGTCATGACCACAGGGGGAAAATCTAATATGAAATAGGCTGATAATTGCAGTCGTTGTCAATCAGCATCTCAAGCCCCTAGCATTAGTAGTAACTGCCTTCACAGACTGGGCTGAATAAGCAAATGTGTGATCCCAACTATGCTCTCAAAACAAGCCAGTTTCAAAGCAAACGGGACAGTGTCCATGCCACTTTACAGACTGCATTGTGTGGGCTTTTACCTATCACTGCAGTCCCCAAGGCTCAGTCCAGCATCATTCACTAGCGCTCATTATTCAAAGAATTAAAATAAATGGAGAAAATAATGAGAAAAATGTAGGGCCTACATTTTTGAGAGTCAAGTAAAGTATTAGGACTCCCAGCATTGAGGAAATATCTGCTGTTTAAAAGTCTTAAAGCTACATATTATCTGACATCCCCCTAAGACATATGTACTGGAGAACTGACTGGGCTGCATAAAATGCTATGGAACCAGACTTTAAAATATGATTAATAGAAATATCACTATATTTTTTAATCTCATATTTAATAATAAGAAAATTAGTCTAAATTAAATACTTTTACTTTTAAAATATTATGTCTAGCACTTTTCAGTTTGCAATATGTCCTTTCCAAATGTGAAAATGCATCGCATATTTCATTTTATGTGGTCTGAACTGCTCATCCATACTCTTGACTGATTTCTACATGTTTTTTCTACGTGGAGATGTAGCACCATGGATAATAACCAGCTATTCTTTGTAAAGGGATACTGATGACAGAATTACCTGTATTAACATTATACTTGGGAGAGGTCTGATGGTAAAAATAGTAGTAAAAGTCAAAAAGCTTTAAAGACATAGACGAGATGATTAAATATCTGCAGCTTCAGCTATCAGATCTTACATGTTGCTAATGCTACAAACATGCTGACACTTATCTACCTCCCTGAAGTCTTCCAGTTAAGCCAAGTTCTGTCCCTTGAAAATTACAACTTGCCTTACAACTTCAGCGTCTTCCCACATGTGATCTACTATTATTTCTGGCTACTAAAAGAGCCAGGCTAGTCACCTGATAGCCTCCACTTTTCATGGCCATTCTGATTCCTGTAGACAATCTGATCCTTCTTCCTCGACTAACTTTCTGTAATTTCATCCCTTGTTCTTTTGTCTGCATCTCCTAACATCAACATTCATTTTCTCAGTCAGTATGCCCTGTACTGTAACAGTCTTGAATGTGCAAAATCACCTCATTCATCTAATGAGAGGGAAGACCTGATATGGTATTGTATTATTCTGCGATACATAATTCATTCTTTCTTGCAGCAGAGCTTGCAGGTAAGGTACACAGGGTTGGCTGGTTGACTGGTTAAGAGCACATTAAGAAAAATGTTTCCAAATCTTCAAAGTGTTTCAATTCTGAATTGAGCTAGTGCTTGGATAAGTCACATGAGTAGAGTATTGATCTAGTTTGTTCACTAAAGGTAGTTGGGGAAAAAAAGCTTTTCGGGGAAAAAGCAAGAAGTTAAATTTTATGTCCATAATACATATACTTTTTCTGAAGTTCTGGAAAAAGTAAGAAGCAGGTTTGTTGAATGCCTCTGGGTGAAAACAAGAGTGAAAAGAAAAGACCAGAGATGATACAATGATATAGATCTACTGTATACTAGATCATTGTAAGCAGGAAGAAGAAGCAGCTTCTTCTTTTCACCAATTAACAGAAGTATTCAAAGGTTAGGACTGTACCT